TAGGTTAGTGGTTAGTGTTCTAGTCTGGTAGACCAGAGGTGGTGGGTTCGATTCCCACCTGAGGCACTGGTTAAGGAGCGCACAACAGGCCCGATAGAGGCCTAGGTGTATTTCTTAGGATTTGATGTATATACATCCTCCTTTCAAACTAACTAACTAACTAACTAACTAACTAACTAACTAACTAACTATTTCTTTAAACAAATCATGTTTTATTTAGTTTTATCAAATTATCCAATCCTCGAGAAATTTCGTAGAGAGATAGATGTTGGTTGCCATAAAACTGATTTAACTATGCCGAATATCATCCCTACAATATTTTTTTAATTAAAATTTAAAAATAAGTTTTATTTCCTTCAAATTCAATATGCCCCATGTATATAAAAATAATAATATTAATAATTATTAAAGATAACACAATTGATTATAGTATTTGCCTTCTGGCCCTATTTTTAGAAAAAAGGGAGTTGCACTCGAGCCCGAAATAATTTCATAAAAATTTTAACAAATTAAAATAGTTTTAAATTAATTTTGAATTATGTTATATTCATTTTAAACCTTTTAAAAAAACTTGATCCTCAAAATTATAAAAACTAATTTTATTACTATTTAATTGAGCAATTGGTTTTTGAACAAATATATATTTTATTTTAAAAATCCGATTTTTTGCATAATTTCTTACACATTATAACATGGCATTTGAAAATTTTTGTTTAATCAAACTAAAAGTCGTCCTTGAAACTAACTGGTTCTTTAGAAGCATTATAGAAATAACATTCATTCCGCAAAATGTTTCTGGAATCTGTTCTCTAAATGCTTTTTTTTTCATCCTGGTTGTAACAAAAATTCTTTGGAAACAGCTATCTCAATTAATGTTTTATAAACGTAAAAAAATTGTATCACTTATTTCAAAAATATTAAAAAATAGTACTTCATAAGTATTTGCATTACATTTTGAGCTGCGTTTGGTGTGCTACTCGTAATATTAGGCGTTAAAAATTATCTTTGTATTATTTTTTAAAAATTTTAATTGTCACAAAAATAAGAAAAATCTTTTAATTAAAATGTTTACATATCAATTTCATTTAATTTAGAAAGAATAATTTTAAAATTACTTTTTTTTCGAAAATTTTAAATTTTTTTTAAATTTTCTATAGTTTTTTTTCTTATTTATTACAAAAAAGTTGTTAAACCAAAATTTTACAAGTAACACACACCAGCTCATCTCAAAATAAACTAAAATTGCCATGTTCTCAAACACTTGCCAGGACCTCAAAATCTCTACAACTTTAAGAAAACTATCCCAAACGAAAAATTTCATTTTCTATTAAAATACAACATTCAAAAGAAATAACAAAACATTACAAAAACAATAAACTCTTTAAGGAATCTAGAAATAAAAAGAAAAAGATCTTTACGAAAATAAAAACGATATTCTTTTTTGCTGCAACAGGACAAAGATCTCAGATATCAATGCTCTATTGTTAAAATAGACAAAAACCAAAATGTTAAAGAAATACAACTACCACAACAAAATAAATTCTTAAAACATGCACTCACACAAACACACATGTTAGGACAACAAGGATACCAGAGTTTCTTCTATTCATTGCATACAAAGCAGCAACAATGAATTGTTTCTAAGGACAAAACTGTAATGAAAGTAAAAGAAGCCAAAAAAAATTGTTGTACAACAAAAATATTGTTGAACATAGATATATAAAGTCCTTGATTTAAAAAAAAATATATTCTTGTAATAAAATCTCCTTTAGTTTACAGTGGTATTGGTTTACAATACTTACAGGTCTTGTATGTTAGACTTTTAAGTAAAAATGTTTAATTCTAGGTAGTTTCCTAAGCAAGGAGCGACAAGTTGAATGGAAAAACCCAAAAAAACTAAGATCATAGTTTATTACTTCATGCTAAAAAGTGTCCTTTTTTAGGTATAAATCCAAACAGAGGCTGTAAAGTTTACAGTGAGTGCGTGTAGCTTGTAATAAAATTTATTACCACCACTACTAACTAACAAAGTATTCTCACTAACATAGTCTTGTTTTAACAAGACACTACGACATGAACTTGACTTAATCCTAAGGGCCTGTCTGTTAAATTGAACCCATTTTAATTCTGTTAGTTTAAAGTAGTTGTTTTTATTTTATTACTGATATGTTGTCAGGTAGTCAAGAAGGGCAAAAGGTCTGACGTTTTGTTCGTAGTGTCAGTTAGTGAGTAAGTGACTGTTAGTTGATTTGTTGCTTTAGTTAGTGTAATAAATGTTAAGTCATGTTTTAAGGTGGCACGCGACTTTATTGTTGCTGCTTTAAGAATTTAGAGAGGACTATTTGCTAACAGAATTATGTTAAGTTAACATTTGGATAACAGTTGGATTAAAGCAATAAGAAAATGTTAAGACAAAAATGATTAGAAAGAAAGAGTTTGAGGAAATGCTTACAATTCAAGGGTTATGCAAGTTTGAGTTAAGGCATTCGCTTTCTTTATTTTAAAGATCGAAGTTAAAACAACTTGTTCAATTCTTGATCTGATAAGACAAATTTCTTCGAAAGTATGTAAATGTTTAATAAGCTTATTCTTGATATAGCAACGTTAAACATTATGATATATGCATTAGTTAGTTCAAAAAGACTCCAGAAGATCTGTACTATCGAAACAAGTGATCTTTGAGGGTTTTAATTTTAACGATAAATTTTCAAACAAAGAAACTAGTGAAACTTACTTTCATAGGATATATTCGACAGTATATAAGAATAAGGATTTCAACAAGGACTACGTTTTCCAACTGGGCCATATTGGAATAACATATAATTTAAAAAATTTCTATAAAAATGGTGTAAAGGCTAAATTTGTATAAATTCGGTTTGGAAACCCTGTTAGATCTGTCAATTTGGGATCTAAGATATCGATTCCCATCGAAATCTACCCAATTTGGTAAATTTAGTCTAAAAGTAAGGGTAAGATATGACTATGATTGTAGAAATTCCATATTCCATGTTGCTCTGCAACTCATCTATTAATGTTGGCATACACCAGTGTTTTATGCAATGCCAACGAAAATATTAACGGTTTAAATACCGTGTGCGTTTTTCTTGTTTCCAACTGTCCATGACTTTATCAAAAAAATCGGCTGAAATACCAGAAATTTACCATTTCATATTGAACTGCAGCTCTTGTAGCGTTGTTGGCATACAATAGTGGTTTTATATTACTCCAAAAATTTACTTGGATATTAATTTGGACGTCCGACTGTATTGTTTCCAATTGTTCATGACTATGTCAAACAAATCGACCGAAATACTAGGAATTCGCCATTTCATGTTGAACTGCAGTTCTTCTATAGTTGCTGGTATGCACAAGTGATTTTATTTAAGTCCAAAAAACTTTAAAGGAGCTTTATCCAACGTCCATCCGTTTTGTTTTGAATTCTCCATGGCTCGATCAAACAAAAAGGAAGAAATACAAGGATTTCCCCACTCCATGTTAGACGAAATTCAAGGAATTCCGCAATCCATCTATGACTGCAGTTCGTTTAACATTGCTGCCCTATACCGGTGATTTTATTTGACTTCGTGGCACGCTATAAAATGTGAATTTTACTAAAAAAATGTTTAACTTCGCAAAAGTTCTTGAAACGATCATATATATATAATGAACTTACATTTAAAATTATAAATAATTGCGAAGCCAACTTCACTACTATTCTAGAAATGTCAAAAACAATATGTCCGATCTTAATGAGGAACCTAATTTCACAGAAATTCCGTTTTTTATTTGTTAAACAAGTATGAATTATGACATAGTCCTTTAAAACTATACTTATTTCATCAATCACTCCTAATGATGAAAACTCTAAACTTACGATGTGAATTGTGCATCAAAGAAAAGATGTCGTTATTTGAGAAATCGGGAATAACAATACTAACATACGATTATCGATGATTACGTTTACGCTTTCCATCATTTACCATATTGTCTTTGGTTTGGATCTTTCAAAGATCTTTTTCAGCTTCTATTAAATTGCGAAATTCTATATAGAAATATTTAGGAATCAAGTTGATTGAAGCTTCAATGTATCATCTAACTATATTCACATATTCTCGATTGAATGAAGCTGTTTCAGAAACTTGCATAATAAGAACAATAAATATAAAATAATAAGGAAAACATATAGTACTGGTGAAGTTCTGCAAATATTTTCTTATATTATCAATATTTCTATTATAAATCTAATAATAAAATTTGAATTTCTAAAATTAGTATGCAAATATTATTGATAGCTCTACCCAAATAACTAACCTCTACTTCAACTAAATAAGTTAAATTCTCCCACAGAGTTATGGCGCTTAATAAAGCGCCTCTACATCTATGATTTGCATACACCACTAGCGCTTATAGAAAAAACTTTAGTGACAATGTTAAATCTAACATAAAAACAAATTCTATGTTAAACCTGATCAATATACACATTCAGACACATGTATAAAAATCTTACCTTTCTTTGATACAAAAGAATTGAACCATAAATTCTATTCATAATCCTCTACCTAATGTAAAACTACATCTCATTCTCCCTCTCTAGCACACGTTTACTAATATTTTAATGTTACTCTCCTTTACTCAAAGGTAAACACACAACTATAGCAACAAAGATCACTTGTGTATTGGGTAAAGAACCCTAAAAAACTGAAAGAACTTCAAGTAGAGAGGGAAAAAACAGAGCAGGTAGTTCAGGCAGAACACTTACTACTAGCAACCACTTCTCACAGTGAGTACATAAGGCGAAGCAACAGGACGAAGGGTATCATTGTGGAATACGATTCCAAACAGTAAACATTACAAAACAACTTCTACTACTCTACTATTTCTTCAACACACACTCTCTTTTATACTTACACATATAAAAAACTCAATTCAAACAAGATTTTCATACTTTTAAATTAAAATACTTGCAAGAAAAAGAGTTCAGTTGTAAACAAGAGATCGTTAAGAAAAGACGTTTAGCGCATAAAAAAGTGGATTTATTTTAAACTCAAAAAAATCATACTTGTGGATTAATTTCGTAACAAAATAAAAATGGCTAGTGTTTGTATGTCACAAAACAACTATCAACAACAACATCATTTTGAAATTGTCAACGGCAACATGATGATGTTGCAACAACACCATCAGCAACAACAAATGCCTGTACAGGCTCAATATGTCAACAAATTGCAACCTATTGCTCCAGCTCAACCCAAAATTTTGGGAACCAGCAACTTGCAAAATATCCAACAACAACAAGCTCCAGGACCCATGATGGCCAAGAAGAAGTACACTTATGCCAACATGCCCTATGGTGAGCAATTGCCCTCAGTAGCTCGTCGCAATGCCCGTGAGCGTAACCGTGTCAAGCAAGTTAACAATGGTTTTGCCAATCTCCGTCAACACATACCTCAAACCGTCATCAACACTTTGTCCAGTGGTGGTCGTGGTGCCAGCAAGAAACTCTCCAAAGTTGATACTTTACGCATTGCTGTTGAATACATCCGTGGCTTACAAGATCTTTTGGAATCATCCAATCCAGCTGGTTCCTCTAGTAGCATGCAACCACAACAACACTATGATGAAACCAGCAATGATGGCAGCAACTATGGTTACTCTTCAATCGGCAGTCCTGTTGACAATCAATCCTATCAAATGACCCATTCACCCACCTCCTCCTACTCCGATTCCGACATCTCCATCAATGGTGCCAACAGTTTTGTACAACCTTTGAAATTGGAAGAACCCGAACAACAAGATTTCAAATTTGATTTCTCCGAACAACATGATGATGAAGAACTTTTGGATTACATTTCATCTTGGCAAGATCAATAAGTTGGTTAAATACAACCAACTTTGCTACAAAAAAAAAACATACCCGCCTTTACGAAAACAAATTGAAATTCATCTCTGGTTCCTGCTACTCACGAAGAAGAAAAAAAAAATGAAACGAAAAACAAAAGAACTAGTCTGTCAGTTGTACAAATGTAAATAATTCTTTTAAATAACTTGCTTTTACTCAATGAAGCAGTGCCTTGAGTATTATTAGTTTATAAGTTTAATTTTAATGGAAGACAATGATTTAAAACTTTTTTTATTTTATTTTTTTATAATTTTAAGATTATTATTTTTAAGATGGAGGACACTAAACTTTAGTTATTAAGCAAAACAAACCCCTTGAAAAAATTGTTATAAATTTTTTTATTTAAATTATTTAACAAATACAAAAACATATATGCAAACTAAAATTTACCACACACTCTTTTTATTTCAAAACTATTTACACAAAGGAAAGGAATTTTATGTTTTCAGCACAAAAAAAAAGTACATAACAACTAAGCTAAAATTCTTTTAAAAAAATTAATAAGAATTATTCCACAATATTTTGATATCCATAAACAATTTTTGGAATTTCAAAATTTGTTCAAAAAAATTTCAAAAATTTGCTCAAAAACAGCCCAAACTTCTAAAAAGAAAATTGCTCCAAAAACTTTTAGTTTATAATACTTAAACTAAAGGATCATTAATCGGTAAAAATGTACAAATGTGTAGAGTATCTTCCGAACTCAAAATGAAAGATAGATTTTTGAAATAATGAAAATTATTTCATCTTTTCAATGCACATACATGGTGACGAAAAATCTGATCACCCGAGTCGATTCTCTCCGACTATTTATTTTCTATGGACTATTTTCAATGACTGTTTCTGGATTTCGAAATGATATCAAGTTGATTCTAAACTAACCTAGAAGTTCTTACGTATGTATACACTGAAATAATACCTTTTTCTCTGCTTAAAACAAGGTGCCGCATCACCATCTTCGCAATCGAATAAGCAGTGTTTTATTTGTAGTTTATGAGAACTCATAGTCAACTTTAAAAGATCTTTGGAAATATTTTTATTCAAAAATCAACATCTACAACTTGTTTTTCTGTTCAGTTAAATATTTATATATTAAAATTATTTTTCAATCTTCGAATCTACGCAATAATAATTTGAGAGTTCTAAAATTATGAGATCTTATAACTGCCATTAAATGATCCAAGATCAACAACATGATTTTTGATTCATATTGGAGTTGTCATTCAATCTATCGAATATGGTTTATTCGGTTATATATGCAGTTGGTTTACTGCATATGAACAGTCAAATAGAGTCGAAGGAACTGAGTTTTGAGAAGACCACTCCACTCGTTAGATGTAGTATTGTATAGTATTAGATCCAGCCTGTAGCCATGAGACATGGTGCCATGTGTACTACTGCAACCAAGGCTCTGGAAACGTTGCTAGATATTCCACCCGTTGAAACATATTTAAGATATGAGGCGGCGCTTACAGCCGAACGTTTCTTTACTTTAGGCGAACTGGCCATAAACGGTTATAGGACACGTCATCAATGTATACTGGGCATATTGGAAGGTTATGCACAATAATCAGACGTGCCTGATCGTATACCAGACAAAGAATATGTCGGAAACTTTGAAACGCTGATCCCAGATAGAATGTCTTGGTCAAGCGGAACATTAGAGCAAATACCAGTAGGAATCCGTTGTTACACGGATGGCTCTAAAAAGGGGGAGAAAGTGGGGCTGGGGTTCTATATTGAAGACCCAGAAACAGAAATATACCACCGTTTACCAAATCATAACACAAGCTTCCAGGCAGAAGTACGAGCAATAACGGAATGCGTAAATTGGATTAGAATAAATGTGGAGCCCACAGCGCTTAATATACTTACCGACAGCCAGAAGGCAATTAGGGAGATATCAGGTGATAGAATTAAATCTGAGACCGTATTGGATAGTAAGAAAGCTTTAACTGGGAGAGGTAAGGTTTACATCATATGGGTATCAGCTCACTCGGGAGTAGTCGGCAACTAAAGGGCGAATGTATGAGCTTTAAAGGGAAGGGAGCTTGAGGCAGTTAACCTGACAAACGCAAAACCATTCGACCCAACAAAAGCTGAATGAAACAGTGTGTAGAACCACAAAGTTCCTATGGGGTGACCCAGATGAAGCAAGATGAAAAATCTCCTCAAAATGAGCAAGTCTGAAGTTAGTATGATGGTACGTATTCTGAGTGGACACACAGGACTACGAGCACATCTATGCAAAATTGGCCGTGCGGATTCAGACAAATGTAGAGCATGTGGAGAGGACAGAGAATTTTCTTTGTCACTGTCAGGCATTCGTCGAAGTTAGATCCAAGTATCTTGGAAGTGATGTTATTCCGGAAACTGAGTTTCTGAACACTGATATATAATTCATTCAGTGAACTTTTTTTTCATGAAAAGTAGCGCACAACAGGCCCGACAGTGGCCTAGGTGTATTTCTTCTGATTTGATATAGTATACATCCTCCTATCAACCTAACCTAACCTTAGAGCCAGATATCTCACCAAGGTTGGATATGAAGTAGCTGCCAAGGAACTTGGTTCCAAGGTTCCTTTATATGTGCTTAGGTTATTCTATATTTGTTCTGCTGGATACTGCTTTTGATAAAAATTAGATATCAAATGTAGATACTGTTCTGGCAAGCTCATCTGCCTATTCAATTGCATAATGGTCGTTATACGCAGAGATCCAGACAAGGGTAATTTACTGAGCTCAAGCTATTCCAGAACAAAGAATACGAATTTTGATTAATTAGTTATTGTCTTTAAACATGTACCTCTCTTTTGGTGCATAGTTAACGATGGTCAATGCTTTGAATAAAAGGTGAATATGTTCCAAAAGAACGTTAAAATTTTGAAAAAACAACCGCATTTTTATGTTATACACCGAAAATTCCCAGCAAAAACACTCATTACAAAGTAAGGAGTTAAAATGTTAGTAAGAACTTACAAATTAACAATTTAAGTCATTATTTTAATACATAGATGTTATTGAACGTTGTAGCAGCAATCACTAACGTTGAAATTACTAGATATGTGAAAGGTCTTTTGGAACTCAAAACGAGAGAATCCCCTATATGTTTTTAATGCAAACTAATCCAGTAATAAAACAATCTATTATTTATACTATATTGTTATTTATGAAGTTTATGACACCAAATCTTCTATGATTTTAGAGTTTCTTTAAATTAATGAACATATTGTGCAACAATTTTTTCTGCAACAATTAACTACAATTATGCATTATATTTATAAATCTCTCAAAGAAATTTTATATTTAACAATAAAAATTAAAAACTTGTTCTTATAAGGAAGAAGGTACATTCACCTAAATATACATGCATGTGTGTCCTTTTGATTTCGAGGGACATTCATCAAAAATATAAAAATAATAATAAACATTGTTTGACCGTCTAAGGATCTTCCGTTTAAAAGTGTATTGCAATTGTTGTTGGCCTTGCACAAAAAGAGGAAGTACAGGAAGCACCAAATAAGAAACAGGGATTAACAGGGATTTTTATGAAATGCAAAAGAACGAACGAAGATTGCGATAAATTTTTAAGGAAAAAATTTGTAAAAAAAGAATTTTTGCATTTTCTTGATGAAATTAAATACGTCAGCTAAAAATTTTTTCAAATAAAGAATATGAATACAAATGACAGCTATTAAGAGAAGAACAAGAAGTAAAACAGGAATGACTATACACAGGAGGAGGAGGTCATGATGTAGATAATAATTGTATAGTATGTACAATAGGAACATTGTTACCGGATATCAAAGAAGCTTAAGTTGGAAATGAAATAAAAATCCATTGAAATCAGACTAAAAAGACGAAAGAAATTTTAAACCAGCTATAGAGGCTGGTCCTTAAATTTGCTACTGTGTCTTTCATTAGGCAACCTTGTTAGTAAATTTACAACAAAAAAATTAAGGAAAATAATAGAATTTGTAGCAAAATTTTCTAAAGAAAAGTGAAGGTGTCAAAATTCTATTTAAGCCAATGATATAATATTTGCTAAGATGACGTGACATGTCTAGTTTATGCAATATTTTTCATTATCATGAAATCCTAAGCAGAGTATTAAGATCATTTTACGGGTATAAAGATTTGATTACAATATTTTCTCAGGATGTTGAATGGGAAAAGAAAAACATATAATGCAATTGAAAACTGAATTCAAATGAAATGTAGCGTGCCAGGAAATACTATATATAGGCATTGTCTCTGATTCTACAGTAAATGCACTTGAAAACGGAAAGTCCTTTCTTGGGCTACTAGTTTTATGTTTATAAAGATTGTTATAAGAATCTGTCATTATCTAAGTATTACTTACTACTGCTACTTGTCATGTCATTTCTTTTTCTCTCACTCTCTTTTGTTTTTGTTATTTTAAATGACATTCAGGAAGTTCATATTTATTTATATTTTATTCATATTTTTTTGCACTTTCCTTTCCATAAACAAATGTATTTCTTTGTTCTTTCAAGAACTTGAACTTTGTTTATTTTATTAAAATATAAAAAAATGTCCTTTATTTTCTTGTCTCCATAAGTAGTGTTTCTCTTCGTGAACCTTGTTTTATGTTCCACTTTGCTGACATTTAAGTGCTTGTAACACAAATTTTTATGTTGCTTCCTTAAAAACATATTTCAAACATATTTTTCATTTGTTTCTTCTTTGTATTTGAACGAAATTCGATACAAATAATATTATTTTTATGATCTTACTGAATCTGCCCCTCTCTACTTATATCACCCTTGTGTATAAAAGATCATTTTTCAAAGAAATATTAAAAAAAGCAAGAAAAATAAATAAATATTTCTTTAATTTTTATTGTTATTTTGATGTTTATATTTTATATTGGCGTCACATAAATCTAGAAATGCACCTCTCCAAAACAGCCCACTCGTAAGAACAACTTATAAAAAAACATGTTTAAAAAGACGCCCTTTTAATGTTGTCTTTCTCAAATAATGATTTAT